ACCCATCATTGTTACTGGTATTTGGCATATTGGGTACGCCACGGGGAGTTTGCCAGACTCTGCCATGTGGGCAGGTTACATTCGGTAGCCTGCCAGTTTGTCCAAAATAGGAATGAGATAATAAGATGTAACAATAAGATGTCGCATGGCCGCAAATGCGGCTGCACACTTCCGGGAGCTGGGTTTTATAGTCTCTGGGTCTTGGCCGTTGATGGGATTACAAGGCGCCAGGGGGCCAGTTGGTGGGTGTGACCCCCGCCTACTGGAATTTGGAGGATCTGGGTGGAGGATGCTCAGCCCCGATCCGATCCGAGTAGGCTTGGAGATCTCAGTCCCCGGACCCGCATGCCTTTGTTCCTCTGCCAGTACCTTCATGTGTGCTGAGAGTGGTCTCAGCATGGTGGTGGCTGGTTCTGGAGGTCTTCGGCTGCCGGAGCCCTGGTCAGGGTAGGGAGGGAAACTCAACCCACTCCCCTCCAAGGGGCCCCGGCGAGGACAACCAGGTGCGGGGGCAGGAGACTCTGCCACTCCTACATTAAAAAAAAAAAAAGACAAGGGGGAAAAGTGAGTGATTTGGGTCTGGAATGTGCTTCAGCATGAAGACAAGTCTTGGCTGAGTTCTGGATTCAGTATCCAGGACAGGCTCTGCCATCTGGGACCCCTGGTGTCATAAGAGTGAGAAATCATCAGCACACCACAGCCAAACACTAGAGCATCCCAAGGAAGTCCACAAGCACCACACCAAGTGTCTAACGCCCAGTCATCACGGGAGCATGAATGAAGGGCAGGGAAGGGCACCTGGAAATGCCAGATTATTAGACAGTAAGTGAAAGAAGTGGCGAGATGGAAAGATACCCACTGCGCTCCCTGGCCAGGAGAAGAGGACCAGGCTGGAGATAATGCGGAAATTCTTCCGCTCTGGTGAAGCTGCTCTGTCAGTCCCCACTGACAGGGACCCGGCAGGTGAGCTGACGGGAGACGGCCCTGGGAGGCTCATTCTGGCTCCTGCAGGCGCCCATCCCTCCCAGGGTCGGGCTCACCAGGCTTGAACTCAGAGGGGAGCCCCGCTCTCTGCTTCTGAGCCTCAGGTCGCCCCTGTGCTCCACGTCTGGGACACACAGAGTCCTGGCACCAGCAGCCATTTCTGGGGCAGCAGGGCCTGGGGCTGTGAACAGGAGGAGCAAGCACCTGGGGACACAAAGGTCCTCTTGGGGAGGACACTGGGCTTTGGCCAGGATGTGGCTAGAGGCTGAGACAGTCCCAGGGCAGGGAGAGCCCAGGGACACTGACCTGCAAGTAGCCAGACTTTTGTCCCTGTGACCGTTTCTCTCCTCTGTCCCTTGGGGCCTCACACGGGCGACGGCTCTCCACACGGAGTGACACTTCCTTCTCAGCCTTCCTGGGAGAAACAAAGCTCAGGAAGGACAAGTCACTTGCTCAGGGTCGCTGGGTCCTGTCGCTTCTCCCCTGACTGGCTCCGTTTCACCTGGGCCTCTGCCGCATCTCGCCTAGAAACTCACTGGGATTCTGACCCCTCAAACCCGCAGCTCCAGAAGCAGCTTCCCCTGCTCTGGCTCCTGAGGTGGCTGCGGGGGTCCAGCTGTGGACCTGGCTCCTCCCCCACCCCCATCTCGTGCTCCCTCCCTCAGTCACTCAGCTCTGAGTTCAAGGCCGCCGCAGCATCACTCCTGCCCAGGTCCCAAACTTCCTCACACATCTTCCCTGCAAACCTCTGCTATTTCCCTCTCCGGCTTTTGGTCTTTGTTTGTTTGTTTGTGTCTTTTTGGGGACCACACCTGGTAATGTTCAGAGGTTACTCCTGGCTCTGCATTCAGGGAGTACTCCTGGCGGTGCTCAGGGGCCGTATGGGGTGCCAGGGATTGAACCCGGGTTGGCAGCATGGAAAGCAAACTCCCTAACCACTCCAGCTCCTCTCCAGGCTGTTTGGAGCAGTCAAGGGTTATCAGGAGGAGGAGAGGTGATGGTGACATTGGCTGATACTTATATAGCACATGTTGGGTGCTGAGCACTGTTTCATGCATTGAAACTCATTTACTCTTCTGACAATACTATTATTAACATCCCTGTTTGTGGGTAGACAGAGGTTAAGTCACCCAACCCAAAGCATGCAGCTGATTGTTAATCAAACCCAGAATGACAGGCCCGAGTCTGTGTATCCATGTGCTCTGCCCAGTCATCTCAGAGGATGAACCCACTCCCCCACCCCCGTACCTGGCAAGGCTGCGGCCACTCTGTGTTCAGCATTCTCAGCTGGCAGTGGGGACAATCTTTAAGAAGTCCAGACCCCCTCTATACTCAGGGCTACTGATATCATTCCAGAGTTCTGACTGTAATCGCCATCATTCTAGCTGATACCAGGGTAATGGAAGTAGCTAATACCTCATCCTAGTGAAGAACAAACCTAGCTGACATTTTGGTTTTGAAGCTACTCCTAGCAGTGCTCAGGGGACTGTGGGAACCAGGGTTGAGCCTGGAGCTCCTCCATGCAAAGCATGCCTTCAGCCCTTCAGCCCTTCAGCCCTTCAGCCGTCCCTCCAGCCGCTTCCACTTTTAGTCTCTACTCCATATGTTCTAAGCATGTGTCATGTGTTTATGCATTTAATCCTCCCCAAAATTCTGCGAAGATCTTTGATGAGGCATGTGGACGAACTGAGTAATGAGTCAAAATACAGGCAACAACAGAGACAGCTGGAGGGACCAGAGAGGCAGCAGGGCGTTGGCCTTGCATGTGGCCGACCTGACTTCAGTTGCTAGAAAACCACATGGTCCCTGAGTCCCTCCAGGAGCGATCCCTGAGTGCAGGGCCAGGAGTAAGCCCTGAGCACTGCTGGGTGTGGCCCCAAAAGCAGAAATTCCTGGAGTCAGTGGAAAGCTCGGGAGCTGGATGTCAGAGCCCTGGATCTAAAACATACACTTAAAACTTTTTAATTGAATTATTGTGAGATACACAGTTACAAAGTTGTTCATGACTGGGTTTCAGTCATACAGTTCCAACACCCTCTCTTCGCCAGTGTACATTTCCCACCACCAATGTCCGCCTTTTCCCTATTTTGGGGTGTGACTTTTATCTGGATTGCGAGAAGAGCACATCTAATGGTGCTCAGGGCTTCCTGCTGACTTCACCCTCAGGGATCACTCCTGGGGGTGCCCAGGGGACCATAAAGTCAGGTTAGCCTTGTGCCCTCCCCTCCGTAAGCGCCTTAGCCTGTGTCCTGTCTTCTGGCCCACTAACTGTCACTCCCTCGTACCATCCTACCAGCCCCAGCTCTCCCGGCCTGGCTTCCTGAGTCAAGGAGGACCCTCTGCCTCTCCTCTCCCAGGATTTCAGAGGGAAGGTCCTGGCTTATCCATCCTCTGCTCTCTTTCCTCTCCCTCCATCCCCCTGGCAACCAAACCGGACCCATCACGGAGAGGGACCTGGCAGCTGTGTGGGAGACGAAGGGCCGGAAGGAAGGAGGGGCCTAGCGAGGAGCGAGGCTGCAGGGCTGGAGTGGGCGGTGTCGGCCCATCTCGGGAGATGCACAAAGCCGGGAGGCTCCTGTGCCCTGCAGTGATGGGGAGCCGCCCTCCTCCGCACCCACTCCGCGGTCTGGCTCCGGCATAGAGTCCCAAACCCGGCCCGGATGCCGCGCTCTTGCGTGCGCGCTGACCCCAGGCAGCAGGTCCCTCCCCGAGAGCCTGGAACCCAGCCCCAGCGGCCTCCGGCTCCGGGCAAATCCCAGCGCCCAGACCCTCCGCGGGCCTCTGTCTGCTCCGTGCGGCTCGGGGCGGCCTGTGCCATCTTCTGGAAGCTGGTTGACATGCAGAGGCCAGACGGCAACTTCACCGCTCACTGCACGGTGGGGAGGACGGGAAAGGAGCCTGGGGGGAGGGGTGGGTGTGCTCCTAGGGTTCCGGCTATTGCAAAGACACATCTCCGTGTGCACGGGCTGGCGGTTGGTTCCAGGGAGCGGCCGCTCTGCTTCCCGGTCGGGGCCACAATGGGCGGCACCTTCTCCTCCCTTCCATCCCCCAACTCCTGGGATCTGCAGCATCTGCATAAGGGTTCCTGCCAGTCCACCCATCTCTCAACCTTGGAAGCTGCTGCTGCCCCCTCGGGCCCCCTCCCCGTCCTACCTTGGGTTCCGGGAAGGCCCATGACAGAGCAGCAGTTGGTTGGGGGGAGGGAGAACCCAGTCAAGTCCACGACTGGCTCAGCTCGGCATTCTGCAGGCTGCGGCCCATCCGGAGCGGGACCCAGCGCTGGGCCCCACTGGTCTCAGCTCCCTCTGATGTGCCCTCCCAGTTGGGGCCTGGGTCAGGGCCCCCTTTGGGAGCTGTGTCTTTAAGGCAGAGAGACCTGCAGGCCGCCCCACCAGCGTCCAGGGCGGGGGTGGGGCAGTGGCCGTGGCCGGTGCATTAGCGCAGAGCTGGCGCCAGGCAGCAGCCCTTCACGGGACCCTGGGGACTGGAGAGATGCCCTCCCGGCCCCTCCGCTGCGTTTGCTCTCCAGACCCCCACTCCTCCCGGGGTAGTGACAGAGGCGAGAGGCAGCCAATCTTCTGGGGGCCAAGTGGAGCATCTGGGCCTAGGGCCTAGCCCCGCCCAACGCTCCATCCATCAGGGGCACCGGCGCCTGTCCTTGACCCAACAGCCCTTCAAGACCCCAGCTCAAGTCGGCGCCCCCTGTCCTCGGGTCCAGCTCCGGCCTGGCTTCTTGTGGGAAGGCGCTGCCCAGGCCCCCGCTGCGGTGGTCGCCGCCCGCCTCCCTCCATCCTCCCGTCTCCTCCGGGCAGCCGCGGGGGTCAGGCTGGCGGGGCGCCAGCGCCGGGCGGAGGGTGCGGAGCTCCGCTCCCCGCCGGGTGGGGCGTCCCCCTCCCCACATACCCCGCATCAGGCCAGTGGGAGGAGCTGCCCGGGCCCCCCTGAGCCCGCGGGGCTATAAAGCCGCCTCGCCCCGGTCTGCGGCTCCAGCCGGCGCCCGGACCCGCGCCCTGGCCATGGCCACGAGCCACCCCTCGGGCCTCCGGGCCAGCGCCGGCTCCACCTCGTACCGCCGCGCCTTCGGGCCGCCGCCCTCGCTGTCCCCGGGGGCCTTCTCGTACGCGTCCAGCTCGCGCTTCTCGGGCGGCCGCCTGCTGGGCTCGGCGTCCTCGGGCTCCTCGGGGCGCCTGGGCGGCTTCCGCGGGCCGCGGGGCTCCCTGCCGCGCCTGCCCTCGGAGCGCCTCGACTTCTCGGTGGCCGAGGCCCTCAACCAGGAGTTCCTGGCCACGCGCAGCAACGAGAAGCAGGAGCTGCAGGAGCTCAACGACCGCTTCGCCAGCTTCATCGAGAAGGTGCGCTTCCTGGAGCAGCAGAACGCGGCCCTGCGCGGGGAGCTGAGCCAGGCCCGGGGCCAGGAGCCGGCGCGCGCCGACCAGCTGTGCCGCCAGGAGCTGCGCGAGCTGCGCCGGGAGCTGGAGCTGCTGGGCCGGGAGCGCGACCGGGTGCAGGTGGAGCGCGACGGGCTGGCCGAGGACCTGGCGGCGCTCAAGCAGAGGTCGGGCCGGCCGCGCCGTCGGGGGGCGTCCTCCTCGCGAGCAGGGCCTCCCCGCGCCCCCCGCGCCCCCGGGGTCCCAGCCCCCTCCGCCCCGCCCCCTCCAGCGTGCGGATGCTCCGGGGAGGAGGCGAAGGGGCCGCGCCGTGGCCTCCCGGGGCGCGCGCGTCGGGCACCGTCCTCGGGGTCCTGGGGGCGGCGGTCCCGAGGGGGTGGCCCCGCGGCTCAGCCTCGCCCGCTCTGGCGCTAGGTTGGAGGACGAGATGCGCAAGCGGGAGGACGCCGAGCACAACCTCGTGCTCTTCCGCAAGGTGAGCGCGGCCCACGTGGCGCCCCGCCGGCGCGGCCGGGGTCGGGGAGGCGCCCAGACCCCGCCAGGGGCCCGCCGGCCGGCAGTGACCCCGCCCTTGGGCACCCCCGCCCCCAGGACGTGGACGACGCCACCCTGTCGCGCCTGGAACTGGAGCGCAAGATCGAGTCTCTGATGGATGAGATCGAGTTTCTCAAGAAACTGCACGAGGAGGTGGGTGGGCGGCTCAGACGGCGGGCGGGGGCTCCGGGCGACGCGCTCGGGAGGGTCCGCCGGTGGGACGGCGCGGGAGGACAGGCGGGGCGCGCCAGGCTCGCGCGACAGGTGGTTCGACCCCCACCCCTCTGCCACCCAGTGGCGAGCGGCGGAGCTGCAGCCGGGGCCGGGCTCGGCGCGGACGGGGCGCCCCGCACCGCGGCCGGGGTCCCCGCGCTCCCGGGCGCCCCCTGCCGGGCCCCGCGAGCGTCTCCCCGCGTCCGTGCGCGGCTGACTCGACGCCCCGCCGGCCCGGAGCAGGAGCTGCGGGACCTGCAGGTGAGCGTGGACAGCCAGCAGCTGCAGCAGGTCGAGGTGGAGGCGACCGTGAAGCCGGAGCTGACGGCGGCGCTGCGGGACATCCGCGCGCAGTACGAGAGCATCGCGGTGAAGAACCTGCAGGAGGCCGAGGAGTGGTACAAGTCCAAGGTCGGGGCGCGGCGGGCCGGGGGCGCCGGGGCGGGGCGCGCGCGCGGGCTGACGCCGGCGGGTCCCGTCCGCAGTACGCGGACCTGTCGGACGCCGCCAACCGGAACCACGAGGCCCTGCGCCAGGCCAAGCAGGAGATGAACGAGTCGCGGCGCCAGATCCAGAGCCTCACGTGCGAGGTGGACGGGCTGCGCGGCACCGTGAGTCGGGCCGGGGGCCGGGCCGGGCCGGGCCGGGCGGGGGGCGCGGGGCCCGCTCAGCCCCTCGCCCGCGCCGTCCCCAGAACGAGGCGCTGCTCAGGCAGCTGCGGGAGCTGGAGGAGCAGTTTGCCCTGGAGGCGGGCGGGTACCAGGCGGGCGCCGCGCGGCTGGAGGAGGAGCTGCGCCAGCTCAAGGAGGAGATGGCCAGGCACCTGCGCGAGTACCAGGAGCTGCTCAACGTCAAGATGGCCCTGGACATCGAGATCGCCACCTACCGCAAGCTGCTGGAGGGCGAGGAGAGCCGGTGAGGGGCGCGCGGCCGCGGGGCGGGCCGGGCCGGGCGCGGGCCGGGCGGCGCCTGAGCGCGTGTCCCCCCAGGATCCTCGCGCCCGTCCACTCCTTCGCATCCTTGAGCGCCAAGAGAGCCGGTGAGTCGCCCGCACCCGCTCCCAGCCCGCCCCGCCCTGCCCGCCCCTGCCCTGCCCTGCCCGCGCTGGGCCTTGGCTCCGCTGTCCTCTCTCTGCACCCCCGCCCCTCCGCCCGGCCCTCCTCGACGCCCCCGGTCCCCTCGTCCCTCCTCTCCCAGAGATGGAGCTGCCGCAGGACACCCACAGCCGGAAGATGGTTCTGATCAGGACCATTGAGACTCGGGATGGGGAGGTAAGCGGGGCGCCTTGACCCCCGAACCGCTCGCTCCCTCGGGATTTCGGAGCCCTCCTGGGGTCCTTGAGATGGGGGGAGATGGGGGCTGGACCGGGCCAGTGGACAGGGTGCCGGCGGGAAAGTGCTGCTGCCGAAGGTCTGTGCCCCTCACAGGCCTTGTCCTCCAGCAGGTGGTGACTGAGTCGCAGAAGGAGCAGCACGGTGAACTGGATAAGTCTTCCGCTCACAGCTACTGAGCCCAGCCCCCAGCGACTGCGGCTGAGGGGCCCCAACCCTCATCCCCCACCCCCTGCATAGCCTCTTCATCCCCTGCATGAGTCTGGGGAATGCCCCCCGCACTTCACTCTCCACCACCACCATCTCCCCCAACCCCACCCCCGACCCCAGCAGGTGCCCTGAGACCTTCTGCTCCCCCTTTCTCATCCTGAGAGTGGCTGATGATCCCCCTAATAGTCTGCTCCTGCCCTTCCTGGGTGCTGTCCCCGTGGGTGGGGTTGGTGTCTGAGTTTCACTTCCGAATGAAATAAAACTGTTTCAAGTGTGCCTCACTCTCAGGAGTTTGTTTTGTGCAAGTGGGGTTCCCCAGGGAAGACGCCCGCCGTGTTTTCCTCCTTTTCTTTCTGTCCTTTCCCTGCCATCTTGGCATCATTTATTCCGTCTGCCCTAAGGGTTTTCTCCTTCCTCTCGACCGCTCAGTCTCAGCCTCTGCCCTGTCTGCAGCCCTGAGGGCAGCCCAGACCAGTCAAGTTCCTCACCTATTGGCTGCCGTCTGCTGTCTGTCCCGCCTGGAATCCCCGAAGACACACCTGTTGCCCAAATTAGAATTCACCTACCTTCCACACTTGCTTGTGCTGCTCTGACTATGGCAGCTGGGCCTGGACACGTGCTGCCAGGACCTCCTAGGTGACCTCGAGGAGGCCTCAGCTGTGCCTGGCAATGCTTTGGAGAGTGTGTGGTGCTGGGGATCACACCAGGGACCCGCACATATGCAAGCCATGTGCTCCTGAACCCTGTCTAGCCCTCTCCTTTCTTTTCTTACCCCTAAAGTCTGTTTATTATTATTATTATTATTATTTGGTGCTGGCATCATACATGTGAAGCATAGGCTCTACCCCGGAACCTCTTCATTTTCCTTTTTTTTTTTTGACATGGTCTCCATATATATAATCTGAACTCACACATACCACACAAGTGCTCAACAATTGAGTCATGTTCCCAGCCCTAATACTTCTTCTTAACTCTTGAGATTTGTCTGATTCTTCCTAGATCCACTTGCTCCACCCTAATCCAGGAAACCATCAGCTTTTTTTTTTTTTGAGGATGGGTGCAGCACACCCAGCAATGCTCAGGGGTTACTCCTGGCCCTGCACTCAGGAATGACTTTTGGCAGTGCTTAGCGGAACTATATGGGATGTCAGGGATCAAACCTAGGTGGTCCTCATGCAAGGCAAGCGCCCTATCCACTGTTCTGTCTCTTGAGTCCTCAAACCACCAGCTCTTGCCTGAGTCACATTATCTGCCCAAAAATCTCTTTCCCCTAGCCTGACTCTATCACCCACAAAAACTTATCCAAACATACAGCCTAAAAGTCTAATTCTGACACTACCATCCTTCCTTGTGCTTGAAAATGTCTCATTTCCAGGCTATCTTCTATTAGGAGAACTTTATTTTTATTTTTTTATTAATTTAATTTTTATAAAGTTGTTCACAATAGTTCATTACATTTAATATTCAAACACCAATCCCACCACTGTGCACCGTAAGAGAAAAGTATGTGGGGCTGGAAGCACAGCGGGTAGGGCGTTTGCCTTGCACTCAGCCGACCCTTGGGTCGATTCCCAGCATCCCATATGGTCCCCTGAGCACCGCCAAGGGTAATTCCTGAGTGCAGAGCCAGGAGAAACCCCTGTGCATCGCCGGGTGTGACTCCAAAACCACTGTAGCACTGTAGCACTGTCTTCCTGTTGTTCATCGATTTGCTCAAGTGGGCACCAGTAATGTCTCACAACAAATTGTGAGACTTATTGTTACTGTTTTTGGCATACTGAATACGTCACAGGGAACTTGCCAGGCTTTGCCGTGTGGGTGAGATACTCTCGGTAGCTTGCTGGGTTCTCCGAGAGGGGTGGAAAATCGAACCCGGGTCGGCCATGTCGGCCATGTGCAAGGCAAAAGCCTTACCCACTGTGCTATCTCGCTCCAGCCAAAAGCCAAAAAAAAAAAAAAAAGAGAGAAGTATGTGAAGATTGTTGTATTTTATCCTGGAGCCATTTTAGCCCTTGTATAAGAGACTAACGACATGTGTGTTAATGTGTGCTACTTTTGGTACATCAGTGGGCTAGAGTATAAGAGGTTGAATGGCTGCATTTGCTGTTCCATATCACTTTCTTTCAGGAATTTTATTTCCGAGTCTTTGGATCTTGGCCGTTGATGAGATTACATGGCGTGCCTGGGGCAGTTTGTGAGTGTGGCTGCCATGCTACTGGAAAACTAGGGTGCTGGGGGGAGGAGGTCCAGTCACGGGTTCTGCATACATGGGTTTTTCTTCAGGTTCCCTCATAGGTGAGGCTTATTTTTATTTTTAAAGTATTAAAAATATTAAATATTTCTCTCCATTCAACCCTTGCCTTCAAGTCAAAATCCACCTCTAAATTTTCAATGATCAACTGTGGATACAGGAATTAAGGCACATGGCTGATCCTAATTGGTCCCCAGTACCACATATGGTCGGTCCCTTGAACATCACCAGGAGTGACCCCTGAACATAGAACCAGGAATAAGCCCTGAGCACCACCAAGGGTGGATGAATCCCTCTCTTCTGCCCCAATCAGCAATTCATGGCAGACTCTGCTGTGCGGGCAGGATGCTTTTGGTAGCCTGCCAGGTTCTCCAGACTAAGAACTTCATAATAAGATGTCTGGGAGCTGGGTTTTATAGTCTCTGAGTCTTGGCCGTTGATGGGATTACCTGGCGGGGATGGGGGGGGCAGTTGGTGGGTGTGACGCCTACCTACTGGAAAATGGGGGATCTGGGTGGAGGAGGCCCAGTCCTGATCCAAGCAGGCTTGGAGATCTCAGCCCTGGGACCCACATGCCAGGGTTCCTCTGCTGATTCCTTCATGCGTGTGGAGAGTGGTCTCAGCATGGCTGTGGCTGGAGGTCTTCAGCTCCTCCACCCAGATCCCCCATCTTCCAGTTGTAAACATCACACCCACCAATTGCCCCTGGCTCCAGGTAATCCCATCAACGGCCAAGACCCAGAGACTATAAAACCCAGCTCCCATAAGAGAATAGTGCAGAGTCTCAGGGAAAGAATCAGAGGAGTATTAATCCGGAGAGCAAGTATTCTGATTTGATTTGGGGGGGAGGAGATGTGTGTTGGGGGGGTCATACCCCATGATGCTCTGGGCTACTGCTGGCTCTGTGCTCAAGGTCACTCCAGGCAGAAACATATAATGCCAGGGATTGAACTGTGGCCTCTCACATGCAGAGCCCATGAAGCTTTTATCTTGCTGTTATGTGCTAAACAGTGGGAAGGAGGTAGCCACTGCAGTGGCCAAGTCAGTTGCAGTGAAGCCTGCAAAAGATGATGGTCGGTAGTTAGAATGAGAAATATTCATAGTGAGGATCTATACCATGGAGAAACTGGCCGTGTGAGAGCAAGGGAAATAGTAAAGATGTCCCAGAGTTTAGGTTTGAAAAATTAGATGGATGGGGGTCCTTCCACAGGAGCAAGGGCAGCCAGTGTAGGGAGACGCTGAGGCCTACGACAACAGCAACTCTGGGACTTACTGAGTGTGAGTGCAGGACTGGGGCAAAAGAACACTAGCTAGGGACTGAAGAGATAGCACAGCGGGTAGGGCAGTTGCCTTGCACGCGGCCGAACCGGGTTCGATACCCAGAATCCCATATGGTACCCTGAGCACTGCCAGGAGTAACTCCTGAGTGCAGAGCCAGGAGTAACCCCTGTGCATCGCTGAGTGTGACCCAAAAAGAAAAAAAAAAAAGAACAGCAGCTAGAGTGCTTGTCTCCTCTGCGGCTAACGTGGGGTGATTCACCCCAGATGGTCCCCTAAGTTCACAAGGAGTGACTCTGAGTGTCACATCAGAAGTAAGCTCTAGCCCAAAACCCAGAAAAAAAAAGGGAGGACCAGAGAGATAAGACAGCAGGTAAGGTGTTTGCTTCACACGTGGTACTCCTGGGTTCAATTCCCGGCACCACATATGGTTTCCTGAACCTAGTCCAGAGTGCTGAGCACAGAGGCAGGAATACACCCCAGCCACTGCCCGCTGTGATCCCAAAATATAATAGTAGTAAGGGAATACAATTAAGAAATATCTCATGATGCTCTGGGGAGATAGCTCCAAGGGCAAGAGCACATGCAGGAATCCTGGCCACGAGGTGGTCCCCCAAAATAACAACAAAATAGGGGGTGGTAAGATAGGGAAATAAATTTAATAGCTCATAAATAAATGCATAACTAAAGTTTTTTTTTGTTTTTTGGGGGACCACACCCAGCAATGTTCAGGGGTTACTCCTGACTCTGCACTCAGAACTTACTCCAGGTGGTGCTCGGGGGACCCTATGGGGTGCTGGGGATCGGACCAAGGTCAACCACATGCAAGGCAAGAGTCCTACCTGCTGTTGTATTTTAAAGGATAAGTTTAGAGAGTTGAAACTTGTGTTTTCAATATATTCATCTATGTGGTTACTATACGACTATACAGTTTGGGGCGGGGGCACACCTGGTGGTGATTAGGGTTTACTCCTGGCTCTGCACTCAGGGATCATTCCTGGCAGACTTAGGGACCCCTATAGGGTGCTGGAGATCAAACCTGGGTCAGCCGCATGCAAGGCAAGTGCCTTATCTCCAGACACCTCCCCAATTTCTTTCATTTTATTGTTGATTTGATTGCTGTTGATTGTTGATTTTATTGTTGATTCAACCTGGGGTTAATCTGTACAGTGCTTGGGGGTCACTCCTGGTGGTGCTCAGGAGACATCCAGTGTCTGGCTTCAGCATGCCAAGAAAGCACTCTAGTCCTGTGAGCCATCTTCCAAGTCCCCAGATTTATTTTTAAATCTTGAATTGTGCTTTCAAAAACGTAAGAAAAGATCTGACTTGCAGATGTTCAAATGCTGGGGGAGGAATTGAAAGAATCCCTTTGTCATGGCTAGACCTTGCCATCTTTTGAAGGGTTACATTAGTCTTGGCTGCAGAAGTTTTAGGAAAACTCAAAATCCAGTTCCAATCAAGAGGATCTGTTGTTAACTTCAAAAAGACAGGGCTGGGATTTGGCTGTAATTAAGAAAGCTTAG